AGTACAGCGGACTACACCTCATTACAAATGGCCGGACTGACCAGTTGAGCATTCCTCGTAAGCTAACATGCCGTACTTATAATCAATACACATTGTTGGCGCATTTAGCCAGCTCAATAATTATGCGCCGGAAGGCACCCTCGATACATCAATCGTCGCAAGGAACCTTCCTATCCCATTTACTCATTTTCATGATACTTACCGTTCCCTCCAGTCAGCCAGCTGATACTTCTTATTCAATGTTATATCGCAGTAATGGTGCACTAGATAACGTAAGTTGAATTTTTGCATTTCGAGTCGGCGCATTGCTCTTCCAGTGTCGAACATATTCACTACATAGATCCCGAAATCCCTCTGAAGCCACTCAATATCGTGCTCACTTCCATGAAAAACCTGTAATAAATACTAGGTTTGCACAACTACTGCAATATACAATTTAGTAACGTGATGTGATCACCTTTAAAATTCTAGGATTAGTAAAGGGATCATTGAGGATGTGCATATCGTTCCATAATGGGAACGGATCGATAACGTAGTCTTCAGTCCTTGTAGAAATTTGCATGAGGCACGTTAACCCAAGGTAACTGCGGAAATCGTGATGCTGAAATTAGGCGGTGAAGGTGCTGTCCACCTCAGACAAAGTGTTATACGTACCTCCAAGTCCACAGCGAACTCTTGACTGTTATTCAACACATCCCTCAACCGTTCTAGATCTTCCTTTGTTTTGATCATTGACGCAGAGGTTCCTTGGATATCTACAGGCTCCTGTAGAATCAGTATTATATCATACAGAAAAAGAAAAAAGTTAAATAATGAAAGCATTGTAATTAAAAATATTTAATGAAGGGAGACAATCGGGTAAATAGTTTGACTTCCGTTCCGCACATACCCTTCGACCAAAGCCAGCTAGTAATTATATCCTCTCTGTGCTTTTCAGAAAGGATGACGAAAAAGGCGCTATCGCAAGATACGGGGCATTGTGGTGGCAGTGCATTTGAAATCGCGTAAAACATGTCCTTTTTGTTGAAAACGGGACCAAGCCTTAGGCGGGGGAGGAGAGACTCCAGGGTGCGTCAGCCATTTTCATTTCCCGAGAATCCTGCCCCTTTCTGGGCTTAGTCCTAGAGGATCTCCTGTATATTGCGATAGCGTCCAAAAAAATATTCGTATGAACATATTTCACTACACATGATTAGAAAAGGGTGGTTTGGAAAACAGACGAAAAGTTATAATTATTTCAATCATAACCCAATTCCGCCAAAATCGCGAGAACGAAGACGTATGTCACCCTCAAAAGGAACTAGAACATGCTTCTCTCAATATTGTGAATATATTAATTTGTATAATTATCCATTATTTTGACAGAAGTCAAATTGGTTCGTTATCAGACTTACTATAGGATCCTGCGATTCCATTTGATTGCTGGGCACAACAAAATTTTGATATTTCTTGCTGGTACGGATGTGCAACGTCAGCCTCGTAATCCGAAGACAGATCACTGAAAAGGCAAATATAAAAAATGAGCCATCTCAACAGTCTACAGGTAAAAAGTAAGCTCTTACCCCTGTCCTGCAGTATTAGCCGAACTTTCATCGATAATAGTCATTCCTGAGGTTTCCTTCCTCGGTAAGGCATTATGCTTGGTTTTCAGCTTCGGAACAAACGGATTTGTAGAATTATCAATAGCTGACTCGAATCCGTATTCTTTTTGTGGCTTCACTTTCACGTTCTGAATTTCTTGCAATCAGTCTATCGTGAAAACCCGAGGAATAAAAGTAGTCAGGGCCAAATCAGTTTCCACTGCGAGCATGGTTGGTATCGATGTCGTCCGAGGCAAATGATGGATCCGATCAACAAGAAGCGATAGAGCCGATCGCGGTGTGATATATTAGTCTACTCTAATCAGGTTGAACTACAAAACGGAATTGGCAAAACTAATGATCCGCGACCCTGAAGGACATGACTAGAAAGTTCCCACGTAGCGTGGCTAATTTTCGCTCGCCTCTTGAGCTGTATCGTAACGCCCAACCGGAACTGCCTCACTGCAAGGAGTCGCATCAGTACCAGTGGATCAGAAGCATGTATCCGCTCTTGAAACCTTGCTTCTGCTTCAGCTTCTGAAGAAAAAAAAACTAGATGAGTCAGAAAAAGGATCTTGAAGCTACAGTACTTTTCCGTTTAGTAGATTCAGCTCCAATTATAGTCTTTGGCACTTCAACGTCATCACGACCACCACGATCTAACTCGTCCATGACGATTCCCCTAGAATATCGTACACCTAATAAGCCACCATGAAGACTAAGCCGCCCATATAGAGAAATCCTCTAAACCACTCTCTCCACTACGTGTATCGTCAGACCGTAGCGGAACCCTATTCGCAGGATATTCTCAATTCTCACAATTCAACTTTTATGGCCACCTTGGTCGGACACCAGTATTGCGCAATGTAGGACTATCAAGCCCTAAAAAACGAGATAACAAGAAGTTAACAAAAAAAAGAAACAAAAAAAGCAAAAGGATAGGAAAAACCAAATTATTACTAAATCATTACAAGATCTAAATTACTTACAGCAAGCGTATTCTTGTTTCTTGCTGCTCCATAAAAGCGGTGAAAGCACTGAATGAATTACATAATTCAAAATCATCGCCACGTCTTGGAAGATCAGTGGCTGCACGTACAAGGAATGCTGCTTTCTGCATGACGTCCTGATTATATATGAGCATTTTATCGTAGCATTAACCAGATTTAGAACATTTAAAATGTGTGCGGACCATGAGTTTTCTAATTTCGAATGGTTGAAAAAATAGTTCTTGTACAGCTAATAATATTTTCATTGCAGTTGATTGTTCTCCTACTGGCCGATGTCAGACTTTGCGATTGGAGCGACTGTGCACAAAATTGCAAGGAGCCCGACGGATCCCGCTTGAGCGATTGCCCAGGTCGCTGCGAGCGAACGAGGGAAGATTTCAACCACATACCCTCGAACCGACCAACGATAATTCGGCGCCCACCAGCTCGTAATCTCCATCGCTCCGCAGCTCCCTGCACAGACGCCAAGGCAACTATTCGGATAGTATCGCAGTGCGAGCGACGGGAGATTTACGAGCTGGGCGCCGAATTATCGTTGGTCGGCCGTGTAAATCTCCCGTCGCTCGCAGCGATGGATCGCTCAAGCGATCCGTCGCTCCTGCAATTTGTGCACAATCGCTCCAATCGCAAAGTCTGACATCGGCCACTCATACTAGCTGAAGGCAAAGTTTTGACCTGAAGCGACAGTGGCGATAAATGTGCGGTTGGCGCTAAAGATCAGCAATAATAAACATCAAATCGCTAGGGTGCTGGCTTTCGTCACTTCGGTTGTGAAGGGAAACTGGGGCCGTATGCTGAATGTTGGGTAGGGGACGGGGATGGGTGAACGTTGGGGAGGTTCGTCGCAGGACCCTTCTGGGCAGCTGTCGCACCTTCAATATTGCAGCTCTGTTTGTATTCTTTCATCGCTGCTTTTGGTATGAAGAAAGATATTTACGTGCGAATATACAATCAGAAACAGTAAAAGGGTGAAAACAAAGCTGCAAAATCAAAGGTGCGACAGCTGCCCAGAAGGGTCCTGCGACGAACCTCCCCAACGTTCACCCATCCCCGTCCCCTACCCAACATTCAGCATACGGCCCCAGGTAACCCTGGTGGAATATGATACGAAGCTATTCGTCACAAGTACTCACTTTAACAATTTCCTGAGTCTTCTCTGCGTGCACGTCCTCAGAACAAACGCCATCTCCGCTCGACGTGGGCTCTACATTTTGCTCCGGATGATCACCCATACTCTTCTGAATACTATTGAACAGATTTTCTTACTACCTTTGATGTTAGTCAAATACTGGTCAATGAAAACCATTAAACTGACGTCAGTATCATACGATTATACGTATACGACGAGATTGTAGTATTGTACGTCAAAAGATCAACGATTTATTGACTAGAAAAAACCAAAAAGTTTAACAAATACGTGCAGAAATGTTGCAAACGATGCAATAACAACATTGAAAGAACACAGCTCCATGAAATCTAGCCGAGATTAAAAAACCGACTTACTAACCAAGCGACCCTCACACAAATTCCAAATAAGAAACTAAGATTAACATTACAAAATGAATAGCGCATAAAACCAGCACACTCTCTAGAAAAATGGCTAATAAAGCAAGTGAACAATGAACGCTGCGTAAAAGTAAAGATTAAAAAGAAGACACTAACGCATGCGCAGCTGTGACCTACGAAATACACGATATTGAACGCAACGAGCAATACACCGGTAGGCTTCAAAAGACATAACTAACGAATACGAATCTGAAAAAGGTGCGTAGAACTGCAATGCCTGAAAAGCATACGATTCCCTAAGTGTATGCTGGTAGTTTTAAAGCAAAAAACCTGCTCCGGTAGAAACAAAGGAAGCAGTTGGAGGGGGTTGCCTATGGCGTCAGAATTTTTGTTCTAGCTCTAACCCGGTACACAGTAATACGTCAGCAACTCATAAATTACACCACAGAAAAACAGAGATCCAACAACAGACTCATGCAAGGTGACATCTGTTATGACGCAATCAAAACAAGTTAGGGCGAGATTTTGACGACGGGGATAATGAGTAAATCTCGAACTTTTAAAGGACACTTTTCGGTTGCAGGATTCATGCCCTAACAGTAGGAGGAATTCGCTGATAAAGAGTGTAATTTGCGAATGTTGTTTCTTTAACAGAAAGTCGTGGGATAAAAAAGGCACGGAAGAACCAGTGCGACTCCGATGATATTAAGAAAGGATGTGAGTATAAACGTCGGAAGACGTCGCTCTGGAAAAAAATAAATATCGAAATGTTGCATGAAGAAAAGGGTCCAACGAAAATGTAAAACAAACCATAGCACCGTAGTTGGGTTCATTAACGGTAGTGTGTTCAGGAGTCTCCAGGTCGACAACATAGTCACAAGTATCCAGCGGGACGTACCTAAATACAATACATTAATTCGGAAATACTGTAATTTACAGAATACTAAGAAAACAGTTTATAAATAATAACTGGCTATAAGTTTGAAAACAGCCCTAGTGAACTAAAACTAATCAATCTTCTACATGACCATTCCGGACACTCGAGTTTTCCAATTACGCACAGTTTTCGGAAATAACCACAACTACTACTCCATACCTGCAGGATGTGATGCTTCCGCTGCATCACGACTGCAGAATTATTTTATGTATGAGTAAAATCATCAAAAATCATCGAAACATAGGAACGAATTTGAGGAAGTATTGGGATATTGGGAACTCGGTTATCCATCACTACTCCAACTGTCAGAAACCAGCTTTTCGATGTCTACACAATCACCCGAAAAAAAATAAAAAGGAACAAAATATATGTTTCAAATACTGCCAACAAACCTGGACGGCTCTTCTTTGTTCATGTCATTCATTTCAGTAGGAATCCGTCGCGTGATGAACGGCAATCGTCCTTGAGGATAATATTTCGGGAGAAGACCCGCGAATTCACTTTTCAAAAAGTGGAGATGAACTCCTAAAAACGAGTAACTTCATAGACTACTCATTGTAGGAAGCCCAAGCGCTGCATGAAGAGTGCATGGTAAAGGACCTCGTTTCCGCGAACGCATATCAACAGCCATTTGAGGAAGGAAAAATGATGAGGGGAATCTGTGCCACTCCTTTCCTACACAGACGCGTAGCGGATCCTGAACATAAAACAACTTTCCAATACTGGAGAAGATCGATAACCTATGCAAGCGAAATGTACCCCGCGTTTGGAAAAGTCCAGTTGATGTTGATGGTCCATAAAGTGCTCATTCAGACTTTTGTAAACCTAAATACACATCGACAAGACACATGACAACTGTGACACTTCCTAATTAAGCGTCTTCTACCTCGATGTGAGAGCTGAAATTTCTGTGAAGCGCATAGGTCCTCGACAGTGACGCGAGAATAAAGCACAGTACCACCAACCAGGAAAGGACGGAGAGAGAAGGGAAATATCGGGAGACTAACCTGAAGCAGTTCGTAATTCGAACAGGCCGCAATAACTTTAATAAAAGCATACCGATCTGCGGAATCTAAAGCTATTGCAGCGAAGAGAGCTATTAAAGGGTACACTGGGAAAAGGAATCTCTCCTCTTTGTGAGGCTGACTGAAGAAAATCATACACCACACCGATAGCGAGCTGAATAGGAGGAAAACAGATGAATAGTGTCGCCAATATGAGGGATGAACAGCTGAAAAGGATAAGAGGGAGTTTATTTTTCTTATCTTTTAAGACTACCAGAGCGGTTCAAAGAGATGAACCATACAGTGATCTACATAACACCCCGCCTTAACAGGCAAATATATATGCAGTCTCCTTCGATTCAAAAAAACTAATATGTTCCCTCCTTACATTCTTCCTCAATGCCAAAGTTAAGAGCACAATTCGATAAATAAAGTACGAAAACTCACGGATTCCCCATTTCTTGTGCTCCTCAAACGCCATCCATGAGTACATGTAAATTCAGTGCCGATAGCGGAATCGCAAAAGGAACTAGCAGCGCTGCTATATTCCAGTTTAGAAGTAGATTTTTTAGATAATAGGTAACAGGCTCAACACCATAAAGATCTGGACCGTGCTCAGAAAACACATTGTAAAGAACGATGTTGAGTGGAGCCTGCAAGAAGAACCTTAAGCTATTGAGAGCGTATAAACACAACTACTTCATTGTAAACGTCAGTAAAGAAGGGATGGAAAATCACCAAAACTTGTTTCCCGTAGTAGTAAGAATCAACACTAAGAAGAGAACCACAAACGAGAATACCAGACACAGCAGCATAATACCAGAACATCCTCAAGCTGAAAAAGTTTCGAAAGAGAAGAGTTATCCTGAGAATTTTAGCGATCAAAGCTGAAACGGATTAAGTCGGAAGGCGTACTTTGGTCGTATAATCAGCATTTCAGCAACAATTGGAAGTCCAAGAACGGCAGCGAAAGGCCAACCAACAAGTGCCGATATAGCCGTGCAAAAGATTGCGTAGAACCTTAAAGAGGGAATCACTAACTGAACCAAGCAAAAAGTGAAATAATCAGGAATCTGAGCTCACCACTTTTCGTTCAAAAAGGCGGCCATAGCATACATGTTCATAGTCATAGAGAAGGAAGACGGCAGAAATGCAGTACTGCAATACAAATTGAAAACACCTGACTGACGGTGGCTACACAACAGTTGAAGCAATTGTTTCCTCTTACCTCGATATGAACATACCCGTGGAAAGCATCGAAAAAATTACGAAAAATCGACCAATGCTGATACTCAAGCTGCAAAGATAAAGTGAAATAGATTTCCTTCCTAACGTAATTTCGGGGCGTTACTTCACTAGTGTATTCACTATTTCATTAGTGTTTCAGAATCTCAATTTTCTGGTTGAACTATGCTTAGTGGGAGTTTTGTTGCCCTGATTACGAATGTGACGCTCATTTTTGGCGCTATGGTCATCAACCGCCGGTTTGGGATAACGGCCGTTTTCATTGAATTCGGTTAATACTTGTGCATATAGATTATTTGGTACCCCGATTACATTATTTAAGTATCCATTTTTGCGCCGGCGGAGTAATGGTTATCATATTCGAATTCAGGTCCTCGAATCATCCCTTTACACAAGTTCATACAGAGTTTGGGGAAAACAGCCGTGGTGCCAAACAGGTGTCACATGGTGTTAATCTGGTGCCAAATGGGGATAGCGTCAGAAATTGATGTCGTATTCGTAATCTTCTTCCACTCCTAGCAATAGCCCCCCCCCCTCGTAGAGATTAGACACCGAATCACCAACAATAAAGAATGTGGCCTTCGCCAAGATAGACAGCAAAAGAATAATAGGATCACCTTAGAATAGATGCATATAAGAGTCTATCATAAACTAGTACTGTTTCCATATCGCTTTGTAGAAAAGACACTCCGTCCATACCCATAAATATAGCCAATCAACACTCGTGCGCAAGTGTACATTCTCCATCTGATAACGCTTATCTTCTGATAAGGCAATAATGATAGAGAACTATTTCAACAGGTAGTGAAAGTTATATGTAGAAATATGACCTTAATACATTCTAAGCCTCGCAAACACGAAAAAAAGAAAGTGTCACACCTGAAGCTGAGGTGTCCTCTAAGACTGCACATTCCTTATGCGCCTATCCTGAAATCTTCCCATTTTTGGGAGCGGCCCCTTTGCTTGGCCAAACAAGAGAACGACGCGCTCCAGTAGTTTAAAGCGCTGACCAGACAGTACTCTTTTTGGAAAGAATTCTCTATCTGAGCAATCGAAATCCGGCAGCATTCGAAACAACACGACCTTATACAGTCGCCATTAATACGGCCTTTCACCCCATAAAGCTCAGAAGTCCCGCTAACGAGAGACAGCAACTGAAAATCAACATCTGCGTCATTGCTCATGCTGTGAAACACCTTAAAGATGCGCTATCAACAGAATGGAAAGCAATAAGGTCCGTCGGCCAATAAACATAGCAAAACAAATCCAGAGCATCCACCTTGAGCACAGCGTACGCAGTTGCTCACCATCGAATCCAGTCTGTACACCGTAAGACGAAAAGCTTGCCGCGGATGTCGTTCAACGATATTTGAGGAAATATCGAGACGTCTTCGGGACTGAAGCGACTTATTATTACACGAGAAAACCTTTTAAAATCATGGAAAGAGACAGTACATCATGCGAGGGCAAAAGGGAGAACTTCTGAACCAACCCCTCTTCTCTCAGGTCCACGCTGATTGCCTCTGCATTGCTAGCGCAATGGTTCGCTTGTTATGGGCTACAGTCTCCCGTTTTTGAAAGATCACTTCAGTCTCACTCAAGCTTCAGGAACGGCTTCGTTTGTAATTTTCCGCGTAACGAACCAAAGCTGACATTACTTGAATAGGCTGCCAGTCTTTGCAGCACCTCGCCCCTAGCCTTCACACGACTGTTTAACTGTAGTTCGTAACTTGGCGATCTGTCACTCTGGAGGGTTGAATTTGCTCGCAATCCCGACTACTTTAAGATAAGAGCTTTGCGCCGTTGATGCAATGCCCATCGGTCATGGGATTTTACTGGCGGACGCATGCAGTCTTCTCATTGTAGGCATTCTGTAGTGCGTTGATGCGAGTGTGATGAGATAGCTGCTATACAACTGACTTGCGCTAGGGCCAGCCGATTCCAAGCAGTGTTTTTATCCTCCTGGCCCGAACAAGTCGGTACCTATTATTATATCGCTGGCCCAGGAGGGACTAACGTGAGCACTGGGTATTGGCTCGGGCACCTCATCGAGTGACTCAGGATTTGATCTCCGAGCCGCTCGCAGTGGTGAGGCATCGCCCACTATGCCACTACCCCACCACTGTCCGCCTTGGCCACCCTCTTACTTTAAAATATTAATCATTCTCCTCTCAAACGTTATTTCTAGATACCCGACAACTATTTTCTGATGAACTACCACACATTTTGGTAAGCCAACCAATCCAGAAGCTATGCATCTATCCAAGCTCTCTGGGCAAGATATAAAATGGATCTAATGCAAGATTTTGACGCAGAAACAAAAAAAATGTCGCACTACTTTGCGGATCAGCATGTAAAACAGATTCTATTCAAAACATGTGCTTGACTTACGATGGTGGTAAAGGTTAGGGCGTGGAAAGGTGGTGAAACTGTGTAATCCCAGCATTAGACAGAGATGGGGCGGGGGGGGGCGGGCTCGGAAGAAGTGTTCTCGCCTCGATTTGATGTTCGACGAATCATGGACATGTTCTTGCGTGGCATGCCTTCACCTGATTTCAAGTAAATGTCCACATAAAATCAGTAAGAGGAGTTAATATTTGACAATAAACACCTTACACGTTAAATACGAAGCGAATAACGCCAATCAATCAATATAAAAAATTAGTAACATAGAACCACTTAATCCCCTGCAAATTTCATAACAATACGGAAAACAGTATGTTTATGAATCAATCATTTCGCAAACTATGCTTCTACACTACTAAAAACTATTAACAAGATAAAAACAACTCTGAAATTGTTCGAAAAGTAATCATCAGGCTTCGGAGTTGTCGGTTTGGACTGTTGCCGTCTAAAGCGTCCACGACGCTCTTGCCGAGTCCCTGACTGGTTTTCTTTCGCGGTTTCATCTTCCGAATTCACCAGCTAGAACAGCGGAAAAATTCAACGTTTTCAAACACGTATCTGAATTACTATGAAGAAAACAATTTACCTGCACTCCATACGTTCCTGCTCAATTCACCCAGGGGTCCTCCACTACCCGAATTGCTACATCACATAGCTAATAAGAGTAATTTCACTAGAGCCGTTGAAGCCGAGGAAGAAGTGTATTACTTTCGCGCAAAACTTTATGTTTCACCACTTCTTCATCATTTTGCGATGTAGATGGTATAACAGTGCCATCCTTGAGGAATGCATTCAGGTCTTTCAGCTGTTCGCGGTATCTACTATTCTGGAATGATTCATAACTTGTAAAATGCCAAATCAAATAGGATCAAAGATGTAAGGTATGGCATATCCTTTCTGACTTTCATCAATGAAGCGGGCGCCTAACGTTGTGCGTCGGTTGTTAATCTGTACGTGTGGTGAGTTCTTGTTGTATGTCGGTAGATGTGTGGGCCGGCGCAGCCAAGAATGAAGCTGAGGCAGACCAGGAACTGCATGGACATAAGAACAAACGCGAGTAAAGACAAACGGGCGATTAGCATGAGCGAGATGCGACGGAGATATCAATGTTTTGTAGCAGGATAGTTGTGATAACACTCTTAGGGCTATATAAACACCTGCTTAGCACACTTCCGTTCATTCCACATGGTGCTGCAGTGGCAGCTGGAGGGCAGTGGAGAGAGGAAGGGAGGATGAGGAAGGGAAGCGAAAAATCTACCGTCATATCATGATTGTGTCCCTTCTACTGTTTGAAACACCATTGTGTTGCATACGCGTCACTTCCAGGAGGTGTTGGTGTCACAGGAGGAAGGGACCATAGCGGAGGATAGAAAGCTTGCGCAGGAAAGGAAGGTCCCGGCGGTTGACGGGGGACTAATCTGGTAATCAAAATCAAAGAGTATTCAAGAATCAACTAAATATTAGCCTATCATCACTTCAATTAATAAACCAGAACGTGTGTGTTCGTCCGTCCGGACCAACCGCTCACAAAACCAGGGAGTACGAAGGGCAACACTTCGTGATGTTGATGTCATGATCATGATAACACCCACAGCGGCTATATAAACACCGATCGAGCACACTCAGCCTCATTCTACATGGTGCTGCCGTGGCAGCCGGAGGGGAGGGTAGAAGGGGGAGGGGGCAGGGGAGGAAAGAGAAAGGGCAGGAAGGGGGGGGGGTAAGAAAGGGGATAGGCAGGGGAGGGAGGAAGGGGGAGGGAGTGCACCGCTTTCAAGATTACGGTTCGATCCGGTGTTGAGGTATTATTGCAACGTGAGTGATAATACCTCAACGGCTATATAAACACCTACTTAGTACACTTTCAGTCATTTCACAAGGTGCTGCAGTGGCAGCTGGAGAGCAGTAGGGGAGGAGGGGAGGATAAGGTGAGGAGGAGGAATCGCCAAGCTTCGCAGGGAGGGAGGGTCCGGCGGTTGCCGGGGGACCAATCTGGTGAGCAAATAAGCTACACTTCACAGTACATTTGAATACACCATCTGTCAATTGTTACGAAACAATTGAGCATACCCGCTCGTGATGAAATGATTAGGAAAAGGTAATTCTGAATGATCCAGAAATGTCAGCCATTCTCTCCGAGCAATGCAATCTTAACCGCACCCACTAGCGCAAAAATGCTCCTATCAGACACCTCGAGACGTAAGTTGACGTAATGAGACACACTTTACCAAGATGAACGACTGTTGCCAGGCTTTTTCTTTGGAATTATAGTATTTTTATAAATTACCTCTTTCACAAAGTCCGTAACAATCTTCAAATCACTGTCAGAGCTATTAATAGCGAATCGCCAATCTGGATGTAAGATCTTCTGTAATCGCACCAGCCTCGCGCAGTCTTGAATTCTATAATACGTGAAGTCAAAAAGATTACGTACGGTACCACCTTCTGAATATTTCACGCCCTCTTTGCCTGCTACGTTGTGGAAAGCAGAATAATTTAAATACACGAAAAGGAAGGAGATCTATGGCAAGGGAAAAAAATTACAAAGTGAAAGTTGTGGAAATAGAGGCTATTTAAGGCACCGCTGAAGTTGAAGGAGAACTGCTTCCATTCGTGCATTGAGCGCACGTATGAGCTGTCCTTATTCTGAGTGATCGACAAAAAAGGACTGTGCCAACAAATAAGCTTTACCCTGCTCCCGCCACCAAAAAAGTTTAGCAACGGTGGAATGTTTCCATTTAGAGCTAGGTAAAACACTAATGTTCCAAAGTGACGTGTTGAATGTAGGACATCGAAGTCGCCTGCTTCCACCAAACGATCAAAAACACGCAGAACCAACTGAAATAAGAACTATTAATAAACAAAACAAAAAAAACACTAAACACAAACAACAGATTAAAAACAGAAAGAAAATCTGGTAGACTCACTTGGATATACGCCGGATCATCAGGCTCATAAAACCAGCAAGCCCAATCGAGAACAAACTCATGTTCCCTCTTGTCGAGAGCGTTCTACAAAAATTGGACTTTTATAAGTTCTGAGGCACGCCTCTCTCACACATATATTCACCCTCAAGGCACAAACGGATCTCAAAAACTAGTGTTGGGAATACTGCCGATTATGTTTTAATCAGAATACAATGGTTCGGTTCAGTTCTTCATGTCTTTTCAGGCGGCTTTCACACTCGTCATCGTAGCAGTACGTTAAGCGGTGGCGCATCCCCCTCGCGAACCCAACAGTACGTCTCCTAAAATCCAGCAAAGAATGGTGAGAGTGCTATAACCATGAAAAAACGTTTGGCCACTGTTTGTGTGACTCTGCTGCGGACAACCGCATGGCAAAAAAAATGCACCACACTACAGAAATTCAATAACGCTGATCAGAGCCGTCGAACGTGAGTGTCATAAACACGGTACTTGGAGAGCGAAAGCCCTCATTTCAGGGTCTCTTTTGAATTCGACAGTTACCGTCCAATCAATTGTCTGCAAGTAATCGCAACAGTAGTGGAGTTGTACTTACGAATCGCACCCTTCGATCGTGCTCGCCTGTCAAAAAATGTGTGAAAGATTCCAGTACTCAAGAACGCTGCGACCTCTCTCTCATTTTGTCCATGGTCTTGAAATAAGCAGAACATCAAAAACAAACAGACCACAATACACAGATAAACACTGAGAGCGAGACAGCAACAGTAACGCGAAAAACTATTCAATCGTGCCCACCCAAGCTATTACAGGCTATACTTTTGCCTGTTCCTGAGTCTATACGCAAAATCAAAGCCATAAACAGCTTCAGCACGATTGGAACAGAGGCTGGACAGCTTGTTTTCCCCATTGACCGACCGTGCTTTGGAGAAGTGGAAGTCTTTGAAAAACGAAAAAAAAGCGAGTAACATATTCTAATTGTTACTTGCCTTTCCTGTAGTTCGCGCCACGCAGAAAAAACTCCGCCCGCCCCCGGGGCGCAACGTGTCTCGGAGACAGCGGTTTACGGACTAACTTCAACTTTCTTCCATGGTCCCTGGGCACGAAAATGGCTAAGGCAGGCGACAAGACAGTTAGCAGAACGGCGGCCTCGCCCTCGGCGTTTAATCCATTGGAACGTGGTGAGACTTCCTTAGCACTCAACCTTGTAGACGGGATGCTGTTCGAAGTGGTGAGCCTGAAAAGTGTGGCAAAGTTGAAATGGTTATCAAAGTGGCATGAAGCCGCTGAACGTAAGGTAAGGTGCCAGATAGAGATGGACTGACTCGCATTAAACGAAGCGGGTTCAAGTAGTCCGTGCAGCCGAGTGGGATGGAAGGTACTTCTCTGGAAAGGCCTCTCGGACTAAGCCGAGGCAGCAGAGACGAACTCCAGAGAATACGAAAATTGCTCCCAAATACCGGAGTCTCTCCCCTCTTCAAAGCCTTAGTCTGAAACTGAGCTTATCCGTTATCTTGACGCGATGTTCGCGAGTCTGCATGCATCCAAACCACTCCACGTTCACACCCCGTGAATACGACCACCGAAACAAAACATCTACAGTAAAAACGGTGTTATGAAACGAAATTAGGTCTACTAACTTTTTCGAGTCTTTCATCTGTCATCAAAGCATAATGTGACCGTTGCTGAATTCCAGTCCTCCTCGTTTTGAAGACCTGAAATGCAGATAAAGAAAACGAATGTGTCTAAAAGATAGTGAAACCGTCTACCTTTTGCTCAAGGTCCATACCAGTTAATTCAGTGAGGGTCGCTGAACTCAAGATTAATTAAGAATAATTAATCACGCGTCCACGTTTTGCCTGATTCAGGGTCGGCACTGAAATCCATGATCAGAAGGAAAACATCAACGAGAAAAGCAATTTTAAACGTACCGTGCTCTGTTCACCCAGGCGGAAGCGGAACGATACTGCTCCGCAGGCAGAATATTCAATTGTAATATTCTTCGCACAAGTTTATACATAGTTACTTGAAGTTCAACTGACTATACAGAAAAGTAAAAATAATTACATTCGCAGGCCCGCACGAATAAGGACACCGAACCAATTCCTGAAAAATTGCAATCCCTTCAAAATACCTTAGAGGCCGTTTCACTGTTGGATACAACGATAAACGACATCAGGATGATCCTGCATATTACCGTAGACTTGATGAAAGGAAAAAGACACGAATTTGGAGTTCCAATGCATAAAAGAAAACCACTCTGAACCAACGCTCGGATTTGCAGGCTTTCGGCGTCGATTATGTTACGTCTGCCGCAGCCACGTACACTTACCGCGACTTATTACCGGCTGTGTCAACACGTGCTTGGAAGCTGGGTCTATTCCAGTTAGAGGGGGGCGCATCATGATGCAGTTTCTCGGCGAGCTAATGTAAACTCGAACATTCCAGCTTCTCACGCATGTCAAGTGACTGCCCTCACCCCCGAACCAGGGTCAAGCGTGCGTTGAGGAATCCTCGACACGTCGCAGGGGGGGGGTCGTATTGGCCCGCTGGGTGGAAGAGATCGAGCCATTTTGATGCAGTGGGATCATCACCGTCGGAAGACAAATATCAAGGATGAGTCGATGCCAGGCCAGAGGATTTCCAATGAAAATGATATTTCACCCACACAAAATTTTCGTGATTCTGAGGCGTCCGGTAATTCTTAGTTACTTCAGTGTTTTATCACCACACAAGTTAAAGAATCTGAATTTCGCACGCTTTCCAAGAGATATTTCATCTTTCAAGTAAGACCCCGAATCTGAAGGATGTGTAGGTACACGGCGCATCCGAGAAAGGGTCTAGTTGTTGCGCGCGCTTCAACTACGGCTCCTTGGACAAACAACCTCAATTCAGGAACAATCGAGAGAATTCTGAAAGTGTCCGTGCGCATTTACAGGGAGGTGTACACCATTCAACATTGCGTTAACGGACTCTTCAGGGTTAAATTTATAAACATGTAACCTTTAAAGTTGAGAAACGCTAATCAATCACTTTTCTTAGAAAGAGAAAAGCAGTGATTTCAAATCTGCTCTTACTTTAGTACATAATCGCCCTTAAAAGGATATACAGCCGTTGAAATAGTGCCAATGTAGCGAAAAAGTACCTTTCGGCGGTACTCGTGCGAAAATCCTCAACGTAGCCGTTTTTTTAATACTGGACGTTTGGAGCAGTTCTAGTAAGCGTTTGATAGAGCAAATCTTCTAGTTTATGATGGCGTATTTACTTTTGGGATTGGATGCAGTGAACGGAGCTATGGCTTTAGAAAGTGAAAAAACTCGCACCCATCACAAA